ATCTTCATATCGTAGTTTTCCAGACGCCAGCGCTATTGTAGTAGGTTTTGGAACTTTGGAATTTTCAGTAAATAGTAGGACACTTTTTTAATTTTCGCCCCTTATAAGATGGTTCTCTTTGTACTCTACACTCCATACTCAAAACTTGAAAACGAGATTGTACAACCAGTGCGTGTTGCCAGTGATGACTTATGGATCTGAGACGTGGTCCTTCACTGCTGGCCGTTTGAGGAAGCTCAAGTTCGCTCAGAGATACTATGATGATAGTAGTTGAAAAATTGTTTTTTTACTAAACTCCAACGATTAGGTACAATTTTTATTTAAAAATGTTCCGATAGACATAATTTTGTTACTCAGTAAAATTGACTCTTTGTGCACATTAATGGGATTGATTCGCTACTTATACAAAATATAATAAAAATAAACAAGAATATATAGAATATAATGTGCATTAAACTAGTCACACTATTTACTACCTCTCTGACGTAAGTATTTTTTTCTGAAAAAGCGTATCTTAAGTAACTTGTGATATATTTTTTATAACGGTCTATTATAAGCTATTTCAAGTTAATCCATTAATAACTATTATTAATTATCTTTATATATAAAAATTACGTGTCACATTGTTTGTCCGCGATGAACTCCTAAACTACTGAACTGATTTCAATGAAATTTTGCACACTGTGTGCAGTTTGGTCCAACTTGAGAGGTAGGATAGTTTTTATCCCGATAAGTGACCCTCAATTTTTTTATTGCTCATTTCAGGAGTTTTTTTGGGAAAGCAAATGGTCGTTCGGAAAGGGCAGAACACGTCTGCCTGGTCAGCTAGTATCTTTTTATATAAAAATTACGTGTCACGTTGTTTGTCCGCGATGAACTCTTAAACTAATGAACTGATTTCAATGAAATTTTGTACACTGTGTGCAGTTTGGTCCAACTTGAGAAATAGGATAGATTTTATCCTGATAAGTGACACTCCATATTTTATTATAACGAATTTAAGGAATTTTTATATGAAGGGTCGTCGAAAAGGGCAGAACAACGTCTGCCTGTTCAACAAATATATTATATATACTAATTACTACTATTGTATAACTAAACAAAATTTCTATTCGTTAAACAAAATACTATGTTTTATGAATCTAAGCTTACCAAAGACGAGGAAACAAGGTACAAAATTCGTCATTTTATGATCAGTTTAATATCGCAAGTAATTTTATTAAAACAGTAAAAGTAAAAGCAATTATTTTTATCTGTAAATGCAAAGTATAAACTCATTTAAGATCGTTTATTTTAATACAATATACTTTCAATATTTCATATATAATTTTTTATAGAATAAAGGTGACAAACATACTAACAGTTCACCTGATGATAAGTGGATGCTTTTTTGCGTCCAGAAGCATTTGAAAAGGGCTACCCTCCGGAAAGCAAGGAAGGGTGGTGGTGAATGGTCTAAGCATACCACGACAGCCGGCTGTCGTGGTTAAGTGGGACTCACTGCGACTAACCTAACCTAAGTGCCTACCCACTAAACACTACCTGTGAGAATGGCATTGGAATATTAGGCCTTTCTGCCGAATCGGAAGTAACCCTCTTTAGGGAAAAGGGGGTGCAGAAGTGGATGTTCTAGCCTATAGACACCTACATCTATCCTCTATTTACCAATCAAAACATAGACGCGTTGTCACCCCTGTGCTATATGATGGAATGCCTCATTTCCAGTATAAAGGATCTCCAGTTCCCCACATTCACCATACGAAACAGTAGCGTTGAGTTGCTATTTCATGCTGGTATTCTGTGATACCGTAATCCAAAATACTCTCCGGCGAGGTCCTTCCCCGGTCGTGCTACAATCGTAATATAGCTGCAGCGTAGATATACCACGTGTATTACATCCATACAATCCATTAAAATCTATTAAAGTCCACTGCTGAACATCCTCATCCGTAATGAATTGCCTCATAGGTGGGGTTTTGCAATAGTTGCCACACTTGGCAGGTGGGTTGGCAAAAGTTTTTTATAATTTTAAGTTATTTTCAGGAAGATGCTGATGCCCATCTCCTGTTCAGTTTGCACTCCATCTGTCACCTCTTACGACACCCACAGCACGATATAAACTAATCAATTTTCTTACACTGCCACTACACGGTTAACATACACAGGTACACAAAAAGAAAAGGTTCAGTGCCGATATTGGTAACTTCTTTATTTAATTGACTGTGTTTATTTCATCTTTAAGTTATATAATTAATAATTATTAAACAAAGTTCCGTAAAAATTGTACTTCAGTATTCACTTGTGTTTTTACATTTTTAAAATAGGCAGAAAGTTAAAAACCGTAAACTTTACCGGATCTGTGTAGATCAGCGTTGCCAACCGTACGATTTAAATCGTATTCATACGATTTTTTGACCCTTGTACGATTTACGATGACGTATTCGAAATCGTACGCAAAATGTACGATCTTTACAAATCTTTATAACAAAATAAAAATTATTATTGATTCAGTTCATTTTATCGATATGAAAAATCAATAGCATCAAAATTCTTTTTAGCAATATCGTTTATATGAAGATCAAATATATTTTTTATCAAAATATGTTAATTTTAATTGATATATGATACATAGTAGAGCCATGCTGCAGCTATATTATGGTTGTACACGAATGGGTCAGCTCGACCGGGGAAGGACCACGCTCTCACAGAATACCAGCGTAAAATAGCAGCGTAACGCTGCTGTGTTTCGTATGGTGAGTGTAGAGAACTAGTTTTACTGGAAACGAGGCTTTCTATCTTAGTCCTCACAGGTGACAAAGCATCTGCATTTTGATTCGTAATCGAAGATAGATGTAGATGTCTATGGGCCACAGCAACCACTTACCATCACGTGCACTGTGTGGTCGTTTGTCACTCTTATCCTATAAAAAAAAATATTGCGCTATTACTATGGTCATTTGTATACTCACGTATCTGGTAGATCATATACTCAAAAAGCTATGTTTGTGTTGATTAATTGTTTAACTTTGTTAATTATTTTGTAATTTAAAATTATCTCAGGGCTTAATAGATAGATATAAGTATAGTTTCCATGTTGAGTGTGATTTTATGTTAAACACGTTGAGCGCTTTGTGTTTCTTTTTGGAAACACAAATGCTACCTTCTGAGGCCGCGTGTTTCCTTTTGGATACACGGTCAACCCTTTAATTCGAGGCAAATGTATCCACCAGGAAACACGTTTTCATATATTTTACTACGAAAACTTATACTTCTGGCCTCGACGGTTTTTTCGGTCCGAGTGGGTTTTTTATATGTCTTTTAGGTAAAAAATTATAACAAAAATATAAAACACCCATTTTTAGAAATGATATTTATTTATATTATTCTCATTTCTTTTACAAGCATGCAAAATCAATAGTAGATAGATAGATAGAATATAACGGGCTGGTATAATTAGTAGTTTCTTACGTAAAGGTAGTTAGTGGAGCTTGTCAAAGCAAACTGTACATAACAAAACTTTGCAAATAGAGCAAATTCTGTTCGTTTGTTTGGCAAATTTGTGTTTTCCTTCAATAATTTTTCCTTGCCTTCCATACATCTTACAGCATTCGACACAACGTCTTTTCATCTTTTTCGGAGGTTTCCCTTGACATTGAACACATGTATGTGTCGCTTGCTTGATGGTGGTCGTGGTGGGCGTTGGTGTTCTTGACGTGAGTATTTATGAAGCATTCCTTCGATAACTGCCTCCTAAATTCTGTAATTTTGAGAGCCTTTTTGCGAGTATTCTCAGAGTACAAAAAGTGAGCATTCACGATGCTGGTACCCCACAATACTTCAAAAATAATTTTTTGTACCATTTTGTACAACGCCTCAACGCTGAGCTGTATGACGCCATCTGATTACTCAAGTCAATGCTAGATTTTCCTGTGTTAATCTCCGATACACACCGGCTTGAGGATAATTTGATTTGTGCGAGTTTTTTTGGCAACGGTTTTCAGTGCTGAATGTTTCGTTGAAAGTGTCTGAGACACAATCCCTTTTATTTCTCCACTTCAAAACGACAATGCCATCGCTGGATTCCCGATACGCAATCTCATTCGCATTCAGGAAAACGAAAGAAAACAAAAAATAAAACGTGTTTCCAAAAGTATACACACAACCTCTAAAGAAATTTTTAAGTTACAACTTTTTCAGGGGACCCGTGTTTCTTTTTGGCACACATAAAAATTATGGAAAATCATGAAAAAAAAATAATTTAACATGATCCACATTCACAGTCCGAGCTCCTTTTTATTAATAAAAGTATAAAGTAATTAACAGTGGTAGAGCCACGCAGCACCTTTTGCTGTCGCACGGATGGGCCGGCTCGAACCGGGGTGGTACCACCACCTCACGGAATACCAGCGTGAAGTAGAGGTTTACCTCTGCGTTTCGCTTGGTGAGTGCAGGTGGCCGGAGGCCCTTTTTACTGTAAATGAGGCATTCCATCTTAGTCCTCACGGGTGACAACGCATCTGCATTTTGATTTGTAATAGAGGATAGATGTAGATGTCTATGGGCGGCAGCAACCACTTACCATCAGGTGGACTGTGTGCTCGTTTGTCACCCTTATCGTATAAAAAATTAGTCGTCTTAAAGTATAGTGTCAGATTCTTAAATGTTATACCCTAAATATTAAATTTTGCTTTGACGTTGTAATAATATTAGTTTTGATTTTTTTTCCATTCTTTTTTTATTGAAATTTTAATGCGTACTATTTTGTCTTTTGATGTCTTAGCAAAATCCTTTTTTTTCCAGTTTATGGTACGATCTCCTAAAAAATTAAGTTGGCAACACTGGTATAGATTGCTATTTTTTATCTGTGAATAGAGTTGACGTTTCTTTTATATCCTTCCTCTGTCTTTTGATTTCGGCCATTTTTGCCGAAAGTCTGGTGTTTTGTATAGGTCACACATCTTACTGTGGCCTGTAAATCACATTAATAAAGTTCAGTCAAGATGGTGCAGAAGAAGGTAAAAACCATGTGCGTTTATTAAATTACTATATTTTTTGTGTGAAAAGTATGTAAACTTACCGAACATTGTGTGTTATGTGGAGAACTTAGTAGACTTATGTGTTTAAAAACAAATGTTGTTATTTCATAATTTTAATTAACGATAAATACAACTAGTTTTATAGTGCATTCATTGCTACTATATAATTTATAAAGCATTTCTCGGAATTTTTGATAAACATAACCTATGAAAGGCATGATGCTGAAGTTTGATGAGTTGTAATAAAATATTTAATTTTTAGTGTACCTAACTTACTATAAGCACACTTTCTGCGCTATTGTTCGTGATAAGTGATTTATACATTACAGCCTAAAAAGAAGGTCGGAAAGAAGGTAGCGGCGGCTCCCTTAGTCGTCAAAAAGGTTGAACCTAAGAAGATTGTGAATCCTCTGTTCGAGAAGAGAACAAAGAACTTTGCTATCGGTAAGCAAGAACACTTTATGCCTTATTTATATTTTCATATAAGGGCCAAAATGATGTAAAACTTTATTGCCGATAAACCATGTGGTTCCAAAATACGAGCTTTTTAACACTGATATTGGTCCTATAATTATTAATACCGAGACAACCGAGCTTTGCTTGGCGTTGGGGAAAAAATTATTAACTCTTAATTATCACAACTAGATTAACTTGCAAAGTAAAAACCTTAAGTAATTACAAGATTTCATCTTACCGTTCAGTCCTTACCACCAGTTACATATAAGACGTCTGGTACTTGATTTTAATTATGTTTTCAGCTTAGGAGGTTCATCAAAGTTAAACCTTAAACCTTTACACTGTTTTTGGACTTTGGAAATGCATTTTGAATTAATAACAATTAAAATTAATTTCACTTAAAATTTAATATAACGAAACGCAAATATGTCAATTTGTTTAATTTTTAAACATAAGTACACCCATAAGAATTTAATACAGTCAACCGGGGTAACTTTGACAGATCATCACTATATTTTTTTAGTTAACTTTTAGGCCCGTCACATACATATGGAATTCCGATTCGAGATTCCGAACGCAGCAAGTTCATATAAAATCTATGACCCGTCCCATACGTACGGTAGTTAGTGTACGGCCGACCCGTTCGGAATTCCAAAACAGAATCTCGAAACGGAATTCCGTATGTATGTGGCGGGCCTTACTATATTAAATATGAGACAAAGGAGTTTAGTTAATCTTTGCTCTCAGGTTGGTTTTCATACTCTCAAGATATTTAAAGTCTATATAAATCATAAAATATATCAAAAACAGGCAATTTTGTTGTGTGTCAAAGTTATAACCCCTATATGGATAACTTTGACACAGATGAGATTTTTCGCAGGAATCTTATCTTTTAAACATTTTATAGCTTCAGGGTAACATAATTTTAAGTTTTTAACAAATTTCAGATGTAGTAGAGTCATATACAAGTCAATAAAACCATAAAGTTATAGTTTTATCTTGATTTAAACTCTTTGGTAATCACATTTAAAATTTTAAAAGTTTACCACTGCAAAAAGACAACACTTTTAAATAAGTTTTTGACATTAACTTCGTAAGATACCTTCTTTTTTTTCCAGAGAGTTTGTTTACGAAGTTTGTTAAGTACACGAATTGTATAAATTTAATGTTATGCACTATATGTTGTGCAAGTAAAAATTAAAAAGGTATTTTGTGATTTGACTGTCAAAGTTACCCTTGTTAATCAAAGTTACCCCGATTGACTGTACCTTGAACCCAGACAGTTCATTTGTGGTTGAAGATGGGACAAATAGTCGCAGTGTAGGAGGATTTTCAGAAAATAAAATTATACCAATTCACATTACATTGCTTCATTTACTACTATCATAGCAGAGTGTAGGGTAACCTGACTTTATAGATAAGATAGGTTGAATATGTACTAAAACTGAATCAACACGACCTCAACTCCACATAGTCTTATCTGTCCTACCCCTTGATTGTTTTTGTAAAGCTGTAGCCGTAGAGGCTTGAAGCTTGAAATTTTTTTATTTTTTAACAGCCCTAATTCACTTTTTAATTATGTATAATGATTCATGAATCTTCACCATCATTGGTGAGCAGCACTTTTATACTCTTTTTTTTTTTGATGCTGTTCCCTTTCACCTTGTTTGGGATTTGATATTTTGAATTCAGTATTTAGAACAGATATTGGCAATTTATTTTATATTTTTCGGTTGCCAGAGGTTCTACACTATCATAATTTTACTCCTGTCAGATATTCTTAATACAATTTTTTTTCATCGACACATGTATGAAGTTTGGTTTCTTGTGTAAGTTTAGAGTTAATATACAAATATTATAAATTATCACTGTGTCAGGTCAGGACATCCAGCCAACACGTGACTTGTCTCGGTTTGTGCGATGGCCCAAATACATCCGCATCCAGCGCCAGAAGGCAGTCCTTCAACGCCGTCTGAAAGTTCCACCTCCAATCAACCAGTTCACGCAGACCCTTGATAAGACTACAGGTTTGTCAACTATCATATTATATTGAAGAGTTGGTTTTTTAATTTTCTTTATTTAATTAGATATTTTTAAATATTGGACCTTTTATTAATTTAGTTTCAACTTAGTGTGGGGACAACAAATATACATAGTCACAATCCTTCTTTATAGTTTTAATAAAACAAAAGAATTGGTCCAGTTTCAGAGGAAGAATTGGGGAATGTGGGATGATGTCAATTTTTCAGCTATTATTAAGCTAATGCTACATTTGTTTCTTTCGGTTTTTTTCTTGGTTGCTCAGAGTGCCAAAACCATCTTTAAAATAAAAGTTCTTGTAGCATAAATATCCTATTAAGTAATTTTTTGAGATATTATCTCTAAATGATGAACATCAAATGCAACTATGAATCACTATGATTATTAAAAACGATACGAGCTTTTTAACTCTGATAATCTCTTCTTTTTTGCATAAGTATTAAACAATAAAGCCCAATAATTAAATGAAAATCCATTTATTTTCAGCCAAAGGTCTTTTCAAGATTCTTGAGAAGTACAGGCCTGAGACTGAAGCAGTGAGGAAAGAACGTCTTAGGAAAGCTGCTGAAGCTAAGGTATGTTTGCATTTTGAATATATTTATTCATTCATCTCATTTTGTAGATACCTTAAATATGTTTGGTATAACTACAGTCACTTGCACTTCAGACAAGCACCATATTGCTTTTTGGGAACTTATTATCATTAGCCAGTTTTAAATGCTTGGAAGTTTGATTATATGTGATAAAAATTACATTAACTAAATGATGCATAATAAAATATTCAGATGGCCATGAAGACCTCTAACCACCAAGATCTCTGATTATACCACAAAAATTGGGTTTATGTATGGTGTGATTCTCCTGCAAATATGTTCAAGGCTAATCTCTTTACAGGTTGCCAAGAAAGATGAGCCCCCAGCAAAGAGGCCTAACACAGTCCGTGCTGGCACCAACACTGTGACCAAGCTAGTTGAGAAGAAGAAGGCACAGCTTGTAGTCATTGCACATGATGTTGACCCCATTGAGGTGAGAAATTCATTGCAACTTTCTTGAGAAATATTTTATTGGTATAAAATATTTCCATTTAAAATTTCTTAAATAACATATTTTAGGGTATCAATATGTTATTATTCTTATATTGGAATTTCGAAACTTTTAAATAACATAACATTGTTTATATTTTTATAGAAAGTTTGCTTATTATAGACACAAATATTAGGTTTTTTAAAAAAAAATAAAACTGAAGTGACAAACAAACTAAGTCCTTTCCGATGATTAGTGGCTAGTGTAGTCTATGGACACCTGCAGCCAACTTCAAACAATGTAGGCTACACATGCATTGTCCCCCTGAGGACCAAGATGGAATGCGTTCCAGCTGGTAATTATACTGACTATCCTTCAGGCTGATACATAGCAGTGTAAGCTAGCCACTGCATTTGGCAGCTAAAATAGTTGAGAGGGTACCTACCCAGACAGACTTAGGCAGAAAAGGGAGTTGTACCACCTTGTTAAACATATTAGTTACCTTACTGTCTGATAAAGTTCCTTATCAGACGGTAAGGGTTTGGCGGATGGGAGCGAGGCGACAGTGTAAGATTTTTTCGTCACTACCCCTTGTGTCATAGTGTATTTTATTTTAAATGACGCTCCACTTTAATATTCGCTAGTAATACATTTATTTGTATTTGTTAATCAATAATATAATATGTGTATCAACAATGAGGAACTTCATTCCAACCGAGTGTTCCACGACACTCATGCATGTTTTTATATAATACTAATAATTTTAATAGAAAACAAGTTTGATCAAAAATTCAAGTTGCTATAAAGGCATTATATAATTCCTGAGTGTTTTTTGTCAGAAAAACCCAATAACTGATTTGGACTGAGCCGGGATTTGTACCGTGGCCCTGATAATCAGCAACTGCATTAACGAATACTAGACCAATGAGGGAGTCTCATTATTAAAAGAAGATACAAAGGATAGAATCCAAATGTTTATAGAAATGCAGTGGCCAGTGTTAAGTCTTAAAACATCTAGTTAGAAAGGAGTTAGTTGTACATGTAAAATTGAAGTGTTTATTTGTAATATCGAAATAACAGCTTTTAACTAAATGCATATGAAATATTATACAGTACATATAACAAAACACAATTTTTAAAATTTCTGTCTGTTTGTTTCGGTTATTCGGACCAATTAAAAAAATAAAATACATTGACCAAATACATTGGCAGATAGCTAATGTTATAAAGAGGAGCTTAGGGTACTTTAATTTTAGAAAAGGAATTTGGGTTCTGCACAAAAAAATTGAAACCCATCAAATCCAATCTTAATAAATTTTACGCGGGCGAAGACGCGGGAAACAGCTAGTTTTAAATATAATCCTATTTATATAATATCTCAAATATAGTGCAAAACCATATTTAGTGAAAAGAAAATTACATATTTAATCTCTCACTCAATGATGTAAGAATTTCTTCACCTGAGGCTGTAGATACATACATATTTGCAAGCTGCATGAAGATTATTGACTCTGAGCTCACTACATAGTGTTAATTCTAAATCCCTTTCTCCAATGAAAGATTTAAAAAATCATTATTTATTTCAGCTTGTCCTCTTCCTGCCTGCCCTCTGCCGTAAGATGGGTGTTCCATACTGTATTGTGAAGGGCAAATCACGTCTGGGTGCCCTTGTCCACCGCAAGACTTGTACATGCTTAGCGCTGACACATGTAAGTTAAACAGCTATTTTACTGTAAATGAAGATTTATTCTTGCCAATTAAAGGTAGGATTAATTATGTAGTCATCAAGTTAGGTTGATTATAATATGAATATAAAATTAAAACATTTCAAATCAAACCACAGTGATAGTTATTGTGGAAACATTCCTTGTCAAGTTAATATCACTTTTTTTGCTTTTTTTTTGTTTGTGGAGTAGATAGAACCCTCGGATAAATATAAAAACACTTATTAAAAAATTTTTTTGTCATGCTCCTGGTTTGATTTAATTCATTCAAATTTTATTATTAGTTTTTGTATATCAGTCAGTACCTGTATGATTAGACATATAAAATATTATAATACATATATGAACCACAATGACATGGATATGGGCTTCTTTTATTGTAGTAAGGATTTACCTTAATCATCTTGCTTGACAAGTGGTTAATGATCACACTGCCAGTAGTCTCGCACCTTTAAACTTTGCTGCCAGTCTTTCGTCTGACGTTTATCACAAATTGAATTAACTTTATTATTGTGTGTAGCTAAGAAAAATTCTAAATATTGATTATTACCCGAAATATTGAATCCTAGGGATAACGAGAATACACAATATACTTTTGTAATTTGGTTTACAAATAACCGCATTTACTTGGGTTAGTGTTTTAAAAAGAACTATACTTTTACATAATTTTAACTTCCAAATTTTGCCTTCCTTACGATTTATTGCTTTGAAAATGACGTAATCTCGCAAGGTTTTTGACGCTATACGTCTTGCGGGCTGCCATCGCGTTTCTGTTCCAATAGGTCTCATTTTGAACGCGTGCAGATTTAATAGTGAGATGAGCATATAATGATGATGTATTTGCTATCCAAATGCCATGCGGATAACCTTTCTACCACCAAATATAGATGATCTGAATATGCCATCTTTATGTTATGTAGTTGGTGCGATATTAAATAATATTATAACAAATATTTTAGCAAACATTAATTTTTCCAAGGTGGAGTCTGGTGACCGGGCTGCCTTCTCTAAACTGGTGGAGGCGATCAGAACAAACTTCAACGAGCGGTACGAAGAGCTGCGCAGACACTGGGGTGGTGGTGTGCTTGGTAACAAATCCAATGCGCGTATCGCCAAGCTCGAGAAGGCTAGAGCGCGTGAATTGGCGCAGAAGCAAGGCTAAGCGCAATAAACTTTAATTGTATACTTTGTTGTTTTATTTATTTTCCAATTGCTTCAAAAGGGACGGCGTGATATTATCGAAATGAATTTGTTGATATTTGTTGACCGGGGAAGGACCACGCTCTCACAGAATACCAGCGTATAAAAGCAGCTTAATACTGCTAAGTTTCGTATGATAAGTGTAGAGCTTAGAGAACCGGAGGCCCTTTTTACTGGAAAAGAGGCATTCCATCTTAGTCCTCAGGGGCGATAACGTATCTGCATTTTGATTCTTAATCGAGAATAAATATAGATGTTTAGGTGGACTGTGTGCACCATAGATTTATACGTGTGCATATTTCACCCTATTCTAAAAAAAACCTGGGCCTTGTCACAGACTAAATAGTGCGCCTTGTGAAGTTGTAAGCGGTGTGCCTGTATGAAATATTGTCCCGCTCTGCTGAGCACGCCTAGCTTTTTAGAGGGCAATTTAGTATTTTCTTCCAAGTAACCACGAAACTGCACGTAATGCGATATGTCGACGCTGAGGATTCTGGATACAGGTTGAGGCAACAAGGGGAGTGCCATAAAACTGAAGAGATACGACATAGGGGTTCATTTTAGCGGTAAACGTGCACTCGTTGTCTGTGTTTAATACTCGACTGCGCACACAAGTTTGACTGTTTGACCAAGGTTCTTTTAGCCAATTTTGACTACTGGCGACAACTATTGTATAGGTTAGGTACCTACTGTCTGAAAATATCAACAACTAAAAATTTATCCATACCTGAAAACAAGCACACATTTTTCATTTTATAGTCTTGGCGTGAATATTACGCCAAATCGCCTTTGCTATGAGAGATACCTATTTAGACCTTAGTATGTCCAGCTAGTAGTAGAACACTAGTCGAAAGGAATGTAGGTAAAAGCTTTTTTGTTATGTAAGGACTGCCATCAGCTATCTCTTCAAATGTATATCAGACATCTATCCGACACGATTTGTTACCGTCAAGAAGATGATTGATCGAGTTGAACTCAAATTATTTACAATAGGCAGGTAGTAAAACGAAGCTGTGATTATATACTCTGATAGGTAGTGTAATAGTGATGATACCAGCCCTATGTTTAACAACGTGCCTGACCAGCGTGAAAATTTCGTAAGCGTTGCGTCCCAGGTGGCACATTGGTATTTGTACGTAGTAGGGCCAGCCTCCAATATAATATAGGTCGGCTCCACCAGCGAAGACCACGCACCCATAGAACACCAATTTTAAATAGCAAAATTAAAACAGCAACATAACCCTCTTGTGCTATGTATGGGGAGTGAAAACAATACTCTGCGTGAAAAGAACCGATGACTAGTCCTGTGGGTGACAACTTCTTATTTGAGGCGACAACGCTCTGAATATCAGCACTGCGCTAGCACTTTTTATTAGTTTGTGTTCAGCATTGAACACTTGCGATGTCTATGGCTCACACCACCACAGAACATCACACCACAGTATTATCTGTATTATTCATCCATGAGAGCATTTACAACTTTCTGACACCAGGGCGGCGCCACTTTGGAATGAGGTGAAATATTTGACAGATCTCATAACGAGGAAGTTAAATTGTTAGAAAAGTAAAAATTATGTCTCTTTCTGAAATATTACGGATAAAGATAATCCTAAAAGAAGAAGAATTAAAAAAAAGTTTAAAATGTGTGAAAAAAAATTAAGTAAAGAAAACATTTTTGTGTTTATACTTAGAATAGAAACCGAAAATCTTTTTTTAAAAGCAACTTTCCAATGATGGCAGCACTGTGAGACCATCTGTGTGATAAATAAGTTTACTTCAGTCCCAACTAGTGACATCTGGTGAGCGTAAGATTAAAAGCTCTCAATATTTAATCTAAAATAAGTACTCTGTTAACTCTATGATCAAATATAATATGCATTTATAAGTGCCATCTATTGACTGTTATGGGTAACTGCTTTGCAATTATATGATTACTTTATATTCAATTAGAAATACTAGATGGCGGTAAAGATATTATTTTAGCTTGGATCTAGGTGATTTTGACGACAGTTTACAAATGAAAGTTACGATTAACCATTTCTGATGTACCACTGGCAGAAATCGAACTCTGTTACTTGCGTTTTATGAAATTTTAAGGGCAAACCCTGAGCTCTATACACATTAATTTATTTTTTACAATACAATACAATACAAACACTGACGCCTGTCACCCAGAGGGGTAGGCAGAGACTACGGACTTCCATTTGGCGCGATCCTGACACACTTCTCTCGCCTCCTTTAGATCCATATATTTACGCATACACGCTCGTCGGTTAAGGGTACTCCTAATCTGGCCCATTTTCAATGTATCGCCGATTTGGTCGATAAATCTTCGTCTAGGGCGTCCCTTCCCGACTTTGCCGTTCACTTCTGAAACCTAAATTTGCTTTGTCACTCTTTCCTCGTTCATTCTTTCTACATGACCAAATCACCGAAGCATTCCTTTTTTAATCCTAGTCACAACGTCATCTTGCAAACCACACTTTTCTCTTATTACACTATTTCTCACTCTTTCAATTAATACCTTAGCATACAGTTTACCCACAATGCTAAGCAAGCTGATACCACAGTAGTTTCACAGTCCTACTGCGACCCCTTTCCCTTATACATTGGGACTATAACGGCTTTGCACCAGTCTTCCGGTACCCGCTTCAGTTCCCAACATAAATTAAACAAGGTGTACAGCAGTGGGATGGGATGCCGTTAGATAAGTAGTAGTATATAATATGTTCCAGTCAAAACTCATAACCGGTCAAAACAACCTTTGACTGCAAAAATCAGGCAAAAGTAGTTTTGACTATGGACGTTGGTCAAAACAACTTTTAACTGCAAAATATTGGGTAATAGAGGTTTTGACTAAATTATATCGCTTAAAAGTGGTTTTGACAAAGCATGTAAGTCAAAACTACTTTTGAATTTTTAAAATTAAAAAAGGTCAATTATTCTTTCAATATTGTATTTTATATTGTTGTAATGTACGCGGCTTAACTTTCTGTTACTGATACTGCGAGTTTAAACCGACAGTCTGAACTTTAAATGAGGCAAAATTACTTTTGACTAAGAACATTGGTCAAAACCACTTTTGACAACAAAAACCATTTTTGCCTGATTTTGCAGTCAAAAGTGGTTTTGACCGGTTATGAGTTTTGACTGTGACATATATAATGAAGTTAAAAGGAAAACTATTATAGATAAGTGTATTAACAAGTTTAACTTATAAAATACACTTGCATTAGTAAAAATTTTATTACAATTCCATAGAAAATGACCTAGAACTAGCTGTAATGTTAATGTAAACTATATGAAAACGACTTATGCATTACTAATATATAGCTTTACGTTTTCTTTTGCGGAGTAGGCAGACAGGATTGATCGCCAAGAGACCGATCCTGACATACCACGTTTAGTAATTGTAGGCCTACAGTATCATTTGTGGTACTTTTGGTCTTGCTTTCAGTGGTGGTTTACGGGAAGGTTCGTTATGTACGAGTATATCTTAGGTGTTGCACTGCTGGGAACTAATAGACCTATAGACTTGACATGTGAATGATTTGATGTAGATTGTAATATTTTCAAATTTGAAAAGTCTTTTAATCTTTTTTGACTCCCTATAACTACGCTTAGAAAATAAGTCCTTCAGTTCGCATCGTTCTATTTGAGCCCATTTTAGTCGTTATTGCGGTCAAACCGCATACTCAATATAGTATATATTGAGTATGCGGTTTGACCGCTCATAGTATCAAGAAGGTCTCTTCTAAGTTCACGTATTATAGTAACGGTCAACTACGGAACCCTGAGTTCGGAGTATATACGGAGTTTCACGAATCAAAATGCAGATGTGTGGTCAGTCGTGAGGACCATGATGGAAAGCCTCGTTTCCAGTAAAAAGGGTCTCCGATTCTCTACGCTAACCATACGAAACACAACAGCATTGAGTTGCTATTTTACGCTGGTATTCTGTGAGAGCGTTGTTCTTCACCCGGTCGAGCCGACCCATTCGTGCTACAACTATACTACTAATATAGCTGCAGCATGGCTCTACCACGCATAAGTTTCTATGCGTGATAGAAACCCTACCAAGGATATTTTCAAAAGGACAGGAGTAACTGACATAGCCCAACGTATCAGTTGATTGAAGTGGCAATCGGTTGTACAGCTCGAAAAACTGACAATCGATGAGAAATAAATGTCCTCGAGTAGAAGCCTTGTATTGGCAAGCGCAGTATTGGATGACCTCCCAACTACAGTCCCTGGCCAAATTATTAGACGCACTGTAGTTTTTTTAATAATTACATATTCTGCACGAGTTTATATGCAATACATTTATATTTAAATATATATGTAATGTGTTTTTATTCAGGAGGTGTTTTATATATTTCCTATATGTATTTATTTTAAATGTATTGCATTACAATGATAACCAAATGACACACGAACGTAAACAAGTACAAATCTGTTTCAGCCGCGTTCTCGCGTGCTTTAGTTGTGGACTTGTTTCTGTGGCTTTATGCGCTGTGTTTATTTGTTTCGCTTTTTTATACCACGCAGTTATTTGTTCATTTAGTGTACAGTGGTCAAATAATCAATTGGAGCATTTTAATCATGGGTAAAAAAGGTGATCTTTCACCACGTAAAAAAGCTGAAGTAAAGGCCCTCGTAAATGCTAAATTATTTTCTAACCGCGAAATATCGCGGAGATTGAAGATTTCTGAAGCTAGTATACGACGCATAAAGAAGAAAATTGAGTCAGGAGACAAATTGAGCCCGAAACGAAAGAAAAGATGCGGCAGAAAGCCTATTTTTACTCCAAGGACAGAAAGATGTTTAAAGAAAATTTGTCTGGAAAACAGATTTGCAAGCACAAAACTGATAAAAACGCAACTCCAAGATGCTAATGTGGATGTTTCTGAGCGCACTGTTCGAAAAAAATTAAAAGATTTAGATTTTAGGACCTGCCGTCCCGCCAGGAAGCCCAAGTTAACAGCTGTAATGAAAGCAAAGCGTCTGAAGTGGGCCAAACAGTGGCGAGATAAAGATGAGAACTTCTAGAGATTGGTAAGTTAGTATAATTTTATCACAAATGATACATTTAATATCATTTTCTATGAAATAAAGAAAAACCAGCACAGATGTTTAGGAAGTTTATTAAATTTTGCTATTCTTAACAGGTCTGCTTCAGCGATGAAAGCACGTTTGAAATTTTACAGAATAAAGCTCTGTTTGTGCGTCGTCGTCATGGAGAAAAGTTTCATCCTGACTGTGTCGTTCAGACTGTTAAGCACCCTACAAAAGTGATGATCTGGTCAGACATCAGCGGCAAGGGAACTGGACGTCTGTACGTGGTAAAAGGTATAATGAGGCAGGATCAGTATAAAGAAGTCTTACAAAATCGATTGATTCCGCAGCTCAGAGAATGGTTTCCGAATGGGGAGCCATTCAGTTTTATGCAAGATGGAGCTCCCTGTCACACAGCACGGTCTATTAAAGCTTTTTTGAAAGAGCAAAATATCCGTCTGTTGGATTGGTAATAGTCCCGATATGAATCCTATTGAAAACGTGTGGGGGCTGATGAAGAGAGAAGTGGCTAAAGATGTCATAACAAACTAAACTCAACTCTTAGAAAAGATTACTCATGTGTGGAATCATCATCCTCAAACGCAGGAGACAGTACAGTCTAACATTGATAGCATGCCGCGCAGAATTGAAGCTCTCATAGCGGCTAAAGGTGGCTCAACAAAATATTAACATCTTATTGCATTCATTCAAATTTTTTTCAAGAATTCATAAATACATATTTTTTTTTATAATTATGATGTTTTATTTGTGTTAAAAATAAATAATAAGGTGGATAATAATAAAATATTTTTTTTTATAGGATAAGGGTGACAAACGAGCACACAGTCCACCTGATGGTAAGTGGTTGCTGCGGCCTATAGACATCTACATCTATCCTCTATTACGAATCAAAATGTAGATGCGTTGTCACCCGTGAGGACTAAGATGAAATGCCTCATTTCCAGTAAAAAGGGCCTCCGGCCACCTGCACTCACCAAGCGAAACGCAGAGGTAAACCTCTACTTCACGCTGGTTTTCTGTGAGGTCGTGGTACCACCCCGGTTCGAGCCGGCCCATCCGTACGACGGCAAGAGCTGCCGCATGGCTCTACCACTGTTAATACTGTTATACATTGTATATATTAAAAACAATAAAGCCGTATAGTATCACCTGATAATTAAGATTTTACATAGAATCATATAGTGCGTCTAATAATTTGGCCAGGGACTGTATATGTAATTACGAGCTGATGAATATAGGGAATCAATGGATGCAGGTGGCTCAGAACTACTGTTTGTGGCAACTTATGATAATGTTGATGATGATGCTAAGAGCTGTATATATTATATGACGTCTATTTAAGCTGAATAACATTTAGCTTTTTTAATTATAATCTTCACACAGGATTTGTTCCTGTATCGAAGAGGCGTTTTACGTATACACAATATTTTAATAATTATGTAGCCGGTGTAAGGAAAAGGGGAGATCTCCCGCCGGGCAAGGTGTTCTGCCCGGGGAGCGGCCAGCGCTCCGATTGGTAGTTCGGAGCTATTCTATATATGCTGCTTTAATTTCGGAACTTTGATAGCGCGATTTAGGCTTCTATGTGTTTCGCTTGTGGCGCGACGACAGCGCCGCCACAATTACATTGTTTATGCAGATGTTTGTTACTCAGACTTGAACCAAAATCATCTCAATAAGCTTGAGCGCCTTCTTAACTGCATCAGGTTTATTTTCGTCCTCCGAAAATGTGACCATATCTCTCAATTTTTTATTCGCCTTAAATAGCTAACTATCCGAGAAATGCGCAATCCCAGAATATTGTCTGTTCTCAATTTCATTTTAAATGATTTGTCCTCCCCTTCCTACCTTAAAGGAAAATTTTAATACCTTTCCTCCAACCACGACAAGGTACTTCGCTCTTCAACTCATCTGACGATTTTAGTTCCACTGCATTTTACAAGCTTTATCAGCAATTCTTTTACTGTTCAGGCTACACTATTATAACGTGGTAGAATCATGCTGCAGCTATATTAGTAGTATAGTTGTAGCACGAATGGGTTGGCTCGGCCGCGGAAGGACCACGCTCTCACAGAATACCAGCGTAAAATAGCTTAACGCTGCTGTGTTTCGTATGGTGAGTATAGAGAACCGGAGACCCTTTTTATTGGAAACGAGGCACTCCATCTTAGTCCTCAGGGGTGACAACGCATCTGCATTTTGATTCTTAATCGAGGATAAATGTAGATTTCTATGGGCCACAGCATCCACTTACCATCAGGTGGACTGTGTGCTCGTTTGTCATCCTTATTCTATTAAAAAAAAATTACTCTGGAACTCCTTACCTGTAGACATTAGGAGAGCACCAAATAAGATAGCCTTCAAAAGATTGGTCCGGGCACATCTTTCGAAAAGAATGTCGTTACTCGTCAGCATGATGTCAACCTTACCAGGCATATTATGTATGTATGCATATATGTATTGTGTATGTATTTATGTGTGTATATGTAAATATATATATATATATATATATATATATATATATATATATAATGTGTAATTTACAAGCGTTATTTTAATGTTGTATCTATATAAATGTATTATATTTAGTTATTTGAGTCACCTGCCACTAATTTCTCACAACGCCATGGGTTGACTGGCAGAGAATGCTAACTGGCATTAAGTTCGCTCTTTGAACTTTTTTTTCTTAGAACAATAAAGTTTTTAAATAAATAAATAACATGTCGGCCACACAGATTATAAACACTTGCTCCTGCGGGATTTGAACCCACAGCTTTGCAACGAAACGCTTAGTTAGGGTTATTGTTTCGGCAATTTGTTATTTTTTTTAGATTACTTATTAATTCAATATAAAATATATTATGATTGTTATCATATTATTTTGCTAATTTAACTTTTTGAGTTATCCTTAATAATGCGTATTTAATTGAATTCGACTACATTGAAGATGTTCGCATTTTATTTATATTGAAGTCGGTTTTACAAAATTTTTAATTTTACTACTTGTTTAAACTATAATTTATATTATAATATATGAAAAAGTTACGTCTGTCGTTTGGGGTAAACGAGATGGTAACCCACCATTCTAATACAAACCATAAGATTTTTCAGATATTTTCCATAGCAGGTTCTTACGACACCCATAGGACAAAGTAGGGTGTTAGATTCTCTAATGCCTTCACCATACCGTAAAATGGATCTTCTATTGTTTAATGGGATCGTATTAGTAGTGGCTTTTTTTAAATAGAATAAGGGTGACAAACGAGCACACAGTCCACCTGATGGTAAGTGGTTTCTGTGGTCCATAGACATCTACACATATCTTCGTTTGCGAATTAAAATGCAGATGTGTTGTCAGCCGTGAGGACTAAGATAGAATGCCTATTTCTAGTAAAAAGGGTCTCCGGTTCTCTGCACTCGCCATACGAAACACACCAGCATTAAGCTGCTATTTTACGCTGGTAATCTGTGAGAGCGTGGTCCTTCCCGGTCGAGGCGATCCATTCGTGCTACAACTATACTATTAATATAGCTGTAGCATGGCTCTACCACGTACAAAACGTGGCTGTAGTAAATCTTTAAATTGCAACTTTATGAAGTGAATTTCTAGATGTTTCATCATCATCATCATTACAGCCCTTCACAAGTCCACTGCTGAACATAGGCCTCCCCCAAAGAATGCCACAAAGCACGGTCCTGAGCCACCTGCATCCATCGACTTCCTGCATGTCTTACCAGGTCGTCACTCCATCTCGTGGGGGGACGCCCTACACTTCGCCTACCGGTACGAGGCTGCCACTCGAGAACCTTTCTTCCCCATCGGTTGTCGGTTCTTCGAGCTATATGGCCGGCCCACTCCCACTTCAGCTTACTAATCCGTTGGGCTATGTCGGTCACTCTGGTTCTACTGCGGATATCCTCATTCCTAAGTTTATCACGCAGAGAAACTCCGAGCATAGCCCTCTCCATAGCTCGCTGAGCGACCTTGAGCTTCCTCATACGGCCAGCAGTGAAGGACCACGTCTCAGTTCCGTAAGTCATCACTGGCAACACGCACTGGTTGTACAATTTCGTTTTAAGGTTTTGAGGTATGTCTGACGAGAAGATGTGTCGTAGCTTCCCGAACGCTGCCCAGCCGAGTTGAATCCGTCGATTTACCTCTCGGTCGAAGTTGGACTTACCTAGTCGGACTATTTGTCCCAGGTAAACATACTCGTCAACAACTTCGAGCTTAGTGCTCCCAACAACTACCGGCATAGGTGTGACATGGACATTAAACATGATCTTTGTTTTGTCCATGTTCATCTTAAGACCTATCCGTTGGGAAACACTATTGAGGTCATTGAGCATAGTGCTTAGGTCCTCCAGCGATTCTGCCATAAGGACTATATCGTCGGCAAATCGAAGGTGAGTGATGTACTCGCCATTGATGTTGATACCGTATCCTTTCCAGTCCAGAAGCTTGAAAACGTCTTCCAATGCAGCGGTGAAGAGTTTAGGGGATATGACGTCACCCTGTCTTACACCTCTCTGCAATTGGATAGGTTTCGTATTCTGGTTCTGTACTCGGATAGCCATCGTAGCCCTACTGTACAAGCACTTCAACACTTCGATATACCGACAGTCAACTTGGCACCGCTGAAGGGACTGCAGCACCGCCCAAATTTCGACGGAATCAAAGGCTTTCTCATAGTCCACATACGCCAGACATAGTGGCAAATTGTACTCTTCGGACTTCTGTACAACTTGCCGAAGGGTATGTATGTGGTCTATGGTGCTAAAGCCCTTTCGGAAACCGGCTTGTTCGGGAGGCTGGAAGTCGTCAAGTCTGCGCGCGAGACGATTCGTAATGACTCTCGAAAACAGCACGTAGACGCGGCTCAGAAGGGAAATCGGTCTGTAGTTCTTCAAGAGAGCGTTGTCACCTTTCTTGAAGAACAAGACCACCGCACTTCTGCTCCACGCCTCCGGTG